AAAAAAAAATTTGACCTCTGGACTTGTCTTCATNATGAAAAAAAAAATTTGACCTCTGGACTTGTCTTCATGGTGAAAACGGCTCCAATATGATGGTACAAATTCCACCATATAATCTTGGGTAAACAAAACACTCTTGCCCACATAATTAAATAGTTCACCAAGAACAAATTAAAAGGCATAATTTAGTTCAGTTTATTTGATTATAATAATGAATTATTATAATCTAATAAACTATGGTATAGGTGTTATATAAACAAAATGTATTCTTGTAATTTTATATATATTTATGGGTTTTTGAATAAATTGAGTGCATAAGTGGCACATCTATAAGTTCGTCTTTACAAGAAAACACAATAACTTAAGTCTTAATTTTATCAATATACCAACATTTTAAACTAGTTGAGGATTAGTAGTGATATTTTCAATAACAGGCCCTTATAAATGTTGACATATTAATTTGTCAGTAGTAACATATTTATGTGCATCTAAGTTAAAATTTTCTTATTCAGCGTACCTTTTAACAATCTGTATAAGTTTCATATAAACTATTGAGAAATTATTGATTATATCAAACCTAAGTATTTCAGTCAGTATAGAAATTTCACTATTTAATAGATGATGGTCATTAGTTAATTTTCTGGTGTAACTATAATGAGTTCTTTTATAGGGTCTAAGATGTGGTTCACAATATGGAAAACATGTCTTGTTTTCAATTCATTCTCTTTCAATTTCACAACGAGTACAAGAATTATATCCCATATGAGACTTGATTTTTAAGACAAAATATCTAGCTGGTATATTACAACAAATAACATCTAGTGTAATATTGTAATTTTATTTTTATAAGTTAAATTATCATATGTTAATTTTTTATATCATTAACAAAGTCTCTCAAAAAATCATTGCTATCAAGAGGCTTTTGGTTTCCACGATAAAATCCAACAGGAAAAGCATTAGTTGATTCTGGTCTAATGTAAGCCAAAATTATAATAATGTACTTTTATGAATTGACAACCATCTATATTAACAACTAATTTAATATCTTTTATCAATAATTTTTCAGGTGTTAAATTAGAAATAATACATTTTTGAAGGCCAAAATTGTAATACATACCGGGTTTTACTTCACATGTACTTTTAACATCAATAGGGTTAGAATTTAATAAAGTCCTAGGATCTACTGGAAGTCTGGAAAAACACTTATGAAACCTAAATATTTTTAAAAGATCAGATAAAGAAGAATGGGAAATTTTATATTTTATAGGCCATTGGGCCAATTCAAAATTTATTGTTGGAAAGGAATCGGTTAAATTATCTATTTCAGTAATAGAATCACAACTAGACAATTGATCATTTAAGTCATTAATAGTAATAAAATTATTTAAATCAAATCATCAGATTCTTTGTCAGATGTATCTTCTGCAACAGAAATGTTTCTTAACAGATATTAGTGACATTAGAAATATTATTAGAGTAGATTGAGGTTCAACTTTTTCAAACGCACTAGAACTATAAGATTGCTGAAAACACTTAAACTCTTTTTTCCTCTTCCTTTTTTTAGAACGATAATTTAAAAACTAATCCATTGTATATAAATGAAAATAAATTGATAAAATTAGGAAGTACTAATAAGGGAATTTGACTGACTTGCACTATATAATCAGATTTTTAAAACAAAAATATCAAATTTTATATAATTTAAATGATTTAATTAAATTATCAAAAATATTATGAAATTAAATAAAACATTAAGCTACTTACCAAGTTATTACCAACTAAAATATTTTTAATAAAGAGTAAAAATTAGCGTTAAGCTAAGAACCACAGTCATGAAAGATACACGAACCCTAAAGCCCGCGCAACTCTTATCAGCCGTACCCTTACTTGTGTAAACACACGTGTGATATTTCGATGGTACAAAGTTCAACAATGACCGCGCGGCTGGTCGTCGCCGACAAAGATATATCAACGATGTATCAATGACAATTGGATCTGTCTGGACCTTTACAGTTTTGAGTACACCACGGACCAACCAAAATAAAATAATTGTTTTACTTTGGTCTAGCAGGTTAAGGTATTTGTGATTTTCACTCTAAATTAAATTTTGTGATTCCTTTTACTTACATATTAAATTTATCAGTAGCGGCCCATAGTAATTTTATATAGAGGTGTGACGAACTGTTCTACGAACATTAGGTTCCCTCCCCAATTATTTAATAGGATTGTTACGTAGTCACTTGTAACAGCAATTTTAATTATAACATTTTATACTTGTTTAAGGTAAAGTCAACAAAACAAATAATATGACTAAATTATTTTATTTTATTTAATCGTCAACTTTATACATAAAATCCATTCTTCTTGCTTTCATTCAACAAAATTCGTCTATAATTTATTGATTAAAACTATTATCTTCGTTGATCATACAACTACCAATACTTAACATGGTCAAAGCATTGAGTTTTTCTTTACATATGGTACTTCTCAAGCACGATTTAATTTTCTTCAATGTTGAGAAGCTTTTTTCAGCTTAACTTAAATATTTCTTGAATTTTATTCACAATTTAAACTTAAACATTTAAAAATAAATAAAAATACTACCCAACTGGTAAATCAGAACGGTATAAAAACGTTTGAATGTGATCACTTCAAAGTCGAAAATCGAAATGGTAAACAAAAAATATGAAAGTGTTATAAACAAATCTTTTATTTTTTAATTATGGATCTTTGATGGGCTGTTTCACAAGAAAAGTTAAATTTCTATCATCATTACTTATACTTAGAACTTATTTTCAAATGACAACCCCATACTATTTTTATATATTTTTGTTCGTTAAAAAAAAAAAATTATGAATTTTAAATATGAAATGCTACTTTAAAATTTATGATATTTGAAGAAAACATAAAGTGATTAATAAATAAATATGTAATTAATAAATCTAATGGTGTAAAAAAAAATAGGGTTGCCTTTTGATAATATGAAGTTGATACAAATTGTAAGCATAGGGGATGGTGGTAGAAATTTAAATTTTTTTGTGGAACACCTCATCAAGATCCATAATGATTAAAAAAAAAATTTGTTTATAACCCTTGTATTTTTTAAAATATTACGTGAGACATAGTTAGCAATCATTCTGTTTACAATATTTTATTAGTCCATTTTTCATTATTTACCATAATTTTATTAGTCAATTGATATTTTCGTGAATTATTTGTCTGTATGTTTATATAATACCTGAAAGAATTTATAGTAAAAAGGTAAAGATAATTTTTATTATTAGTTGTGAAGATTTTTATTAGTGTTCATTATAGTAGATTGAAAGAAATGTGTTTTACATACATTTATTATTATTAAGTTGAATTATTTAAATATTTATTGTTGTGCCAAACAGTTGAGATCAATTATTTATTGAAAACATATATTTTTATACATATTTGTTTTGATATTGTATATTTATAATAATTGTGCCAAAGTGACAATTTTACTAATTTATTTTAGTGTACTAAGGTGATAATTTCTTTATATACTATTGCAACTAATTATTTATTTATTTTTGTTTATTTTTAATACAGTTCTGTAAACCGCATTTATATTATTTGATTTATTATTAATAGTAGTTAAGTTTAAAATTGTTGCTTGTTACTCACATTCCCCAATCTAGTGTAGGCATTTCCTCCCATTTTTGGTGTGGTATATGAGTAATCAGAAGTTCCTTAATATACAGTCCACTCATTCTTTCACCAGAGACTATAAGTGCTTGGATAAGCGGCATACTACTTGTCACCCCCACCTTAACAATACTTATCAGCTATTTTAACTCTAATCTTAGTTATAAAACACAATGTATCAACCCTAATCTTAAATGTATAAACAAATTATATTAATGTTATATAAAATATNGAACAAACTATATTAAAGTTATATAAAATATCAAAATTATTTTTATATTATTCACACGTATTAATTTATATATTTTATGTTTACTTATCAATAAACAATAACATTACAAGAATGAGACAATAATGATTGTTCGAGGATACAAAATACAATAAAAAGCTGAGGCCTTAAAGGAGTCTGTTCCATTCGAGGGCCCTGTTCTCTTTTGTTGGTTGTTATGTTAATCGCGCTTTCGACATCAATACGTGTTAATTTATGACATAAAAATTTGAATTTGTGTTATTTTGTTATTACTTGATACCATTAGAAGTTATTATGAGAACAAAGAAATTTTATCGTGTAAGATTTCAAATCAATAAGAGTCAATACTTATATTATTTTACAACTCAATTATTTAGAGTATACAGGGTGTTCAGTAAGTCGGCTGCTTTAACGAGTACTTACACCGTGTTACGTCGCTATTTAGGGGTTTAGTCTAAATGCCCGTCGACAGTATTCTAAGGGACCAACGGGGGATAGCTGGCTAGGCTATATCTACCTTAGGTACTGAAGTTTCCTATTTAATTTATATTCCCTTAGAGGAACTACCAAGGGTCGCACTACAATATATATATATAACACTTTAGNCCAGTTGGGTTGTTTATAATATCTCTCATAGAGGAACTTATATTAGTAATTTTATATTTAATTAACTTTATTGTTTTAACCATCGGACTATACAATCCCGATAGAACCTCGTTGTTCACCAGTTGACAAATCCCCTAAAACACCCAAACTTGGTCAAATACAATCATTAAACACACTCCTTTTTGCACTACTACAAAATACGTGCTTTCTTTTTGTATTATTCATTTATCCTTATAAAAATGTTGTTACAATATAAAAAACTAACTAAATATAAATATAATTTATACATTTATTTTATTTTTTTAACTCACATATATTAAAAGTCGTTTGTTGACACAGTGTTTCTAACAATTTAACATTTAAAAACAAAATAAGCTTTTTTTTCTCATTAAAATATCCCATTCATGAACATAAGAAGTTTCATTATTTATTTCGTCATAAAAAAAGCCCAGATTAATATACAATGTTTTATTCANAAAATATCCCATTCATGAACATAAGAACTTTCATTATTTATTTCGTCATAAAAAAAGCCCAGATTAATATACAATGTTTTATTCATATTTTTAATACCTTCTCTTAAATTAACTTCTAAAAATTCATACATTTCAAACGTATCAGGTAAATCATTACTATTTATATATAAATTACGAGCTTCATCACTATCATTTACACTAATATAGTTGCGGTCAATATAATAATATCCAAGAATTATGTTTAAATCAGAATTAATCCAGCCGTACTCGTCATTGAACTTACTAAAAATTTTTTCCACATAATAATTGTTATTTTCATTTCTTTCTCTGCTTATCAAAACAATAAATTTTAATAATTCGTTTAAAATAAATGGGTTAGTTTTGATATTTAACAAATTCATTAGGAAATGTATTGCACTAATAAAACGTGTAATGAGTTTTTTGGAATTTTCAATATTTAGTAATAATAAACTCACACAATGCTCGTGATCTTCTGAAGTAAACCGAATTTTTTTTAAAATACAATTTTCAACAATGTATCTTACGTGATTGACGATCCATGTTAAGCTTATTGTGTACTCATGATTAATAAGCAACATTATTTCTCTTAATTTTTGATTAACATTTTTTTTATCGACGATGTAACCTTTACAACAACTTTTTTTACCTAATAATAGTTGTTTCAAAAAAATCATAGACTTACTTTTATGGTCAAACACAAAATCCTGTGATTTAATGTGCCACTTGCTTTTTTGTAAAAATGAATTTAAAAAGTTAACTGCATGGCCTTTATTATATTTTTTCTGTTCATTTGTTGCGTTAACTACCAAGATAAATATAAAGATGTTATAATTCATTCTTATTAAATTAATTAATTTATACGTAATTAATAAAAACAAAGTTTTTATTGTAAAATATATATATATTATGTAATTAATTTAAATTAAAAAACTGTTTTTTTTTTAATCGCNGCAGAGAAAACGCTATACTTTTTATTTAAAATTTAAAAATAATTAATATTTTTAACAAAATGTAAAAAAATTAATTATTGAGATATAGCTATAGACCTAACGTCTAACTAATATTTAAAAAAAAAATCAGCTAAAAATATTAACTGGATCAAAAGTTATTTGAGTTGTCAGTGAGTGGTGGGCCACCCTGTATATTTATAACATTCTAAATTCTTACAAGATTAACAATTTTTTATTCCAATAAAAGTGTTTTTAAATATTAGATTATTTATTAAATATTAGAAATGAATAATTTTAATTGTTTGTATAGAGAAAGCTTGTTAAGCAATTTTTTATTTGATTAAGAGATTTTTTTCAATTTTTGAAGGTAATATCATTAACTAAATACGAATTGTAATTATTTGATGCATCATTGAAGAAGTAGGTTAAGTGAGGGTTAGGGAAATAAATCGCAGTCACAAAAAAAACCTCGAAGTAAAATAATATTAACATGAATAAAAAATTTCTTCTCTTGATATTTATTGAAGTTATTTAATTTAAATGAGATAAAAATAAAATTCGACTTCAAAAAAGAAAAAAAATTTAAATAAGTTTAACTTTGTATTCTATGTCAATTAAATTATATATTATTCATGAAAGTGAGTGTATTCCCATTGTAAGATATTTTAAAATAAAATATAAAACCCAGAATTTTAACACAAAAATAGCATATTATTGAATACGGTAGCCATTTTCACTAAGAAAATCTACATTTCAAATTTTTTTTTCGTAGTAAAGTATATAATATAAGCTTTAATATAAAATTAAATAAAAGTGTCAATATTTCTGGAAACTTTTTAAAAAATTTAATTAAATAAGCTTAACTTGTGTGCAAAAACGTCTTTTTTGAATAAATTATGATAGTTTTAAGTACAAAAAATATCACGATAAAAGGTAATTATTTTCACAAATACCATTTTCAAATAGAAAATAAGTCGCCGGGACAAATTTTTTTTTCATTTTATAGTACATACCATAAGCTTAAATTTGATGTATGTTTAAAAGACCCATTTTTCCGGAATATTTTTAAAAGTTAAATTGAACTAAATTTAAAAAGTTGCTATTTTGAACCCCCTCTGTTATGGGGAAATTTAAATAAAAAGTATGACAAATTAAAGAGTATATATAATGTATTTAGGAAAAAAAAGTCTGTGTTGATGCATTAAATGAAGAGGAACTACCTTAGGTTTCAATTAAAAATAAAAACGTTAGCACAGTGGGGTCGCGGCATAGTATGGATGTTGCATAGTTGGGACAAGTATATAGTGATTAAAATCACTATCATAAGACATGCTTCAATGTAAATCTGCATAGTGTTCAATTTTAAGAAATCGGTAGATTATTTCAAAAGCAACAATAACTCTTATTCCCTTAATTTTATCCCGATTTTAGTTATTTCATTTCAGTAACTTCTTGTTGCGTAATTGTATTTTCTCTGCTAACGTCTCTTAGTAATTAATTAATTAATTAATTTAGTAAAAGTAAAATAACATCAATTATAACCTAATAAGGTAACGACAAATCATCGACAATGACAAAACCACTGACCATCGCGTGGGAGTCCCAAAAATACAATTCATATCAGCATTAATGAATAAATGTTCTACTTAACAGTAAAATAAATGATTACGCTACATTTTATTTTATTTTATACAAGTATTAGTTCTTGATTTTTTGTGGTTAAATAATTTGTATGTCTATCTATATTCCCTTGTATGAGTACAATTTTTATTTATTTTTAATGGTCATATAGCCTTAAGCTGCCATTGAGTTCTCATGTCTCGTGTCACACTCCCGCTATTAATATATATTTTTATACGTCACATTTTGTGTTCTTTTTCCAAACTTACACCGTTCGATAGCCCGAATTACAGAGATCGCGTTACTGCATCAAACTCACAACATCGTGTGATCCTACGGGATCAANCCACTTTACTTTATAACAATTCTATAAGAAATATTAACCGGAAAAATCAATACTTGATATTAAAAATATCACACGATTCACAAAATAAGATTTTGCATTTTTTGATTTATGTATTTAGTAATTAATTTATTATCATTTTTCTGATTTTTTTGCTTCTATTATCATAAATACAAAATAGTTTGACAATTGACCAAATATTTATATTAAGACTAATCTTACAAAAGATGAGGGAATTTAATAATGAAGTTCACAAGATGTTTATTGATTTAAAAAAGGTCTACGACTGTATTCATCGTGAATCTTTAATGTCTATACTAGAGCCATATGGTCTCTCACTAAAATTAGTCAATCTCATAAAGGCAAGCGCCATGAAAACGGACATAAAAGTATAGATAGGAAACTCCTTATCAACAACAGCCCAAGTAAGAACAGGATTAAGACAAGGGGATGCATTATCATCCATTTTATTTAACTTAGCACTGGAAAAAATAGTTCAAAACACTAGCTTTGAACAAAGTGCAGTACAGATTGGTGAAACAAAGGTAGATTTTCTGGCGCACGCGGATGATTTAGTGCTGTTAGGAGAAAATAAAGAAGAGCTAATTGAAAAAACTCAAGAATTACTTGAGGTAGCAAAAAGAGTTGGGTTAGAAATAAACATGGAAAAAAACAAAGTACATAATAACTCAGATAGCGATTTTGCCAGAGGATGTATACGCTTATCTGGCAATGGGGGCATATTAATTTAATAGGGTTAAGAAGTTCAAGTACCTAGGTACACTTATAACTCAGAATAATGAAATACAACAGGAGATAAAAACACTAATACATACAGACAATAGATGTTATTTTAAATTGAACAACCTGTTTCAATCAAGAATGTTTTCTAAAAGCCTAATGGTACAACTGTATAGAAGAATACTTATTCGACCAGTAGTGATGTATGGATTCAAAACTTGGATGATTCATAAGATACAACAGAAAAATCTCTTAGTATTTGAACAAAAAGTTCAAATACTAAGTGGTCGATTTTTGACCCTTGAATAGATACGAATACGTGAGAGTGGAGAATCAGACATCAGGCGGAGATCAGGTAACTATATTAGAAACCAAACATAGTCGACTAAAAGAAAGAGCTTTTATTCACAAAGAACTATGTGGCTCTCCAAAAGGCGAAAGACCACTTGGTAGACCAAGGTTGAGGTGAGAAGACCAGGTGTCAACAGATCTGGAGCGATTTGAACCGGATGCTGATTGACGAGTTCTAGCGAAGGATAGAAAGAGATGGCATGGTATATGTTTGTCAGTTTGGTCTTAAAGGTCGTCAACTACGAAGAAGAAGAATACATTTATTTAGTTCATAAATTAAAAAAATATTAATATTTTTTAAGCTTTAACTTTTAAATGATTGGAGTGCATAAACAATTTTAATCAGCCTTCTGTACATTTAAAGTGCATGCACAGAGGCATAAATAATATATGAGAAAATAGTTAGGGTGAAAACATAAACCCCCATTCCAATATTTTTTATTTAAACCCTTTTAAATTTTTTTTTATTTAACCGTTAATATAATATCTGATTTATTTGGGAAGGAGTGATTTAGCCCCTTTAATTAAGTCTATGATTTGCGAAGATCATTAAAACGTTTAAGAGGTTGAATTATATAAGAGCTGAAAAAGTTGTCGAAATATACAAAAAAAAACAAATAATCAAATTAATTTCTTCTCAGCATCGCATTGAGACTAAAAAAATGTTGAATATATTAAATATGAGCACAGGAATAGTGATGAATCGCGAAGCAAAACATTTTTTAGATGAGGCCCCTATCTAATATTTCCCGGTCAATGAAAAATCGCATGTCCGCCCTAGTATAGATCTGATTGAATTACAGTGACCGCTATTACATCAATAAATAATAAACTTATTTTGAATTTTTGTTATATCTTTTTAAAACTAATTGACGAGTTATTTTTTTTTTATTACTTTTATTATCCATTTAAAAAAAACCAAGTACAACACCACTCTTTAACAATTATCTAAGACAAAATATTGAAAATATTTTGTGCAACGCAAGAAAAGCAGTGCTGCAGTAAATACGGTAAAATTAGTTTTGCTTAACTCACTGTAAGCACATAAAGCTTAGTACTAGTACTTATCAAAGTGCTTGGCATTACAATATCTTTATTCGCTATTAATATAAGAAATTCATATTTATATTGTCATCAGGAAAGATATTTAATAAAAATTCTGAAAAGTATTAATAATTCAAACATTGTGAGCCGGTAAAATAAAATTGGTTCGCACGTGTTAGTGAAATTATTTAAAGAAATATTTTTTAAATAGTGGATAGTGGCAACACTAGTCGACAAAAAAGATCTAAAATAATCACTCTGTATTACATTTAAAGTTTTAATACCTATTACAAAATTGAAAGAGGGCAATATTTATAAGACGATCTCATATCCATTTTGAGTTGAACCTAAAATTAAGTTTGTTAATTGAATTTGAAAATGTACTTTTTTATTATACTTCAATCAATGATAACTCTTTACCAATACAATATATCCAAAAACGATTATAATATCATCTCTAAAATATTGTTCTCTTTCAATTTAATAATGGGTGTTATTGCTCCAAGTGCAGTACTTAGTGTGTAATATACATTTTTCAAGACATGTTTTAAGCTCAAAAATAAAGGCTACCCTCTATTATTTCTTTATTTTTATCAGTGAAAAACAAATACAAGAATTATAAAGATTATGATAGCTAGTATCTACAATTGAATAATGCAGATCTAAATTAATTTTAATAATTTAATTTAAACTAAAAAATTAATCAAAATGTTTTTAAAAAAATCTACACATTGAGCGTATTATAAAATTAATTATAATTGTAAAAACCCATTGTTAAATTCAAATGAAACCAAAATCGTTTTTTTAGAAATGATTTGTACAGTAATAAGGTAACCAAAAATTTAGAATATTATAGAGTGATTATGAAATGTTTACGATTTGTGATCTTTTGACGTATCGTTAAAAAAATCATTTCGGTAGAAGCTGAGAAAAAGTGGTACCAGACACAAAAATAAAAAACCGAGAAGATAAAATTAATACCTTCTCGGTTTTTTATCGAAGCTAAAACAAGTCATTATACTGGTTTATATATTTCACGTTTAATCAATACAATCGTAATTTTTCATCAAAATATTATAAAAGTTACAAAAAATAAAATTCATAGTATCTAATACAAGTATCCAAGATTAAGCTTTTTATAAATAATTTTACTATGCATTGTCATAAAGTAATTAATATAATTATTACTTAAAAATTATATTTATCATTGATATCATATCAGAATTATCAATTCGGAAAAAGCTTGATTTTAAAATGCATTCGACGTATCAATGTACTTGTTTTCCAATAAAACCATATCATACGATTTTTTACGGCCCTAAGACTTCCAGTTTAGTTATTTTTCTCATTTGAATAAATATATTATAATTAAATCAATAATTAACCAAAATGTCGTTTATCAATAAACAATAGTATGATAATAATAAAACGCTGTAAGGTACACAAAAAGAATTATAACAAGTCGCGATAGGAAACCGTAACTCGAATCTCAACTAATAAAAACTTATACAAACCTGCTACAATCTTATATGTGTATATCTTCTTGTTGGGGCGATCGAACATTACAGATTGTTGGATCGCCACAAATAGTTTTATATAACTTTTTTTAAATAGTTAAATATAGTAATTAAAACGATTACTACAATAGTCATTAACTTTTATATAAAATATCGACCACTTAGTCTGTTAAACAAGAATACAATACAATAAATTTATTTACTTTTGCACACTGTGCAAAAAAATACAAAAATAATTAACATACCATATTACAATAATAATAAGATGTTTTAGTATGCCATTGTGGTGCACTATCCTACAATGGATCCACGTTTTTTCGTCCGACATTGTAAGTTGTCGGACACGGTAATGGTAAACTTCGAAGAAGACTAAAAAGTGACAAAGCGGCTTATTATCACATAAGAGAGATTATAACAGTATTTAGGATAAGCAGTGCTCGAATTGGAGGGGTGCGCAGGGGGACGTAGCTCCTCTACTTTTTTTTAAATTTTTTTACGCACCCCAACTACTTTTTTTATTGGGACGGGAGGACGGTGGAAAATACGACCTCTTTTTTTTTTTTTTAAATATAGATTTAAATTGTGATCAATTTTATAATTTAAAATATTTTGTAATAAACAAATTTTTTATAATTAATATGATATGATATTTCATTATAGTGTGATAATGAAATATGATTTATTAATAAATACTAAATAAAGTAATGAGTAAAAAAAAAAAAGGTCTTCAAATGCTAGGGACGCAGTTTTCAAATTGTTTAGTTGAGCTCCCCTACTTATTTTTGGCCAATTCGAGCACTGAGGATAAGGATAACAGATGGTAGGAACAATTCATTCATATAATAAATAAACATTT